AACTTGTATTTGGGGTAAAAAATGGGAGTTCATAACCCACTTGAATCAAATGTATGGAAGATGATATGTCATGAGCTTTGTAATGTTTTGAACAACCAATAAAAAAAAAAAGAAGTAAGAGACTGAAAAAAAAAAAAAAACTACTTTGAAAACCCCAGTCTGGATCATGGGTAAAGATGAAAACTTTTCTGCGTGTCCACAGCAGGGAGGGACAGTTACAAACTTTTTAAAAGTTGGTTTGAGGCTTCCCCAGCTAGGGGGTTCTGGCCCAGTTACAGGCCCCCAGCATGGTCTTAAGTGTATCCTAAACAATAAGTGCTGGCTCCCAGAGTTTCTTTTGTTGTTTTAAATGAAAAGATTAATAATCATTCAGCTTTTTAGTGAAAAAAAAATTGAACAAATCAGAGTAAAAGGAACCCCATGTTCTCATCATCCAGATTCAACAAAGATCCAGGATTTGCCAGTGTACTCTAGCTCTATTGTTTATTTTGCTTTGATGTGGTAATGCACACAGTATCTATGTCTTAGCAGTAGTTAGTAAGAGGGAGAAATCTATTTTTGAATAGAAACATTTAATTTCTTAAGCTTTGCATGTTAGAGAAGGTCAGTGCTGAGTCCGCCTCCTGGCTGACCTCTGTCGAGTATACAGTGTCACTCAAGCCAAAAAGTCTTTGTCCTGAGGAACCAATCCAGAAACAGGGATAATTCTGAAACTGCCAAGTCCCTATCCATGCTATGAATGTCAGCATGTTAGTGTTTAAGCCCCCTTAATGCCTGTGAACTCTTCACATATCTTTGATGCCAGTCTGAATCTTCATTGCCCCCACCCAGCTCCCCAAAATCCCCTTATAAGGTTTTTAAAACCCAGAGAAGTTTATTCTTTCATAACCCCCAGGGGTAAAAATGGTCTCAAGAAGAAAAATAATGCCAATGTATTGAATGCTGTCCTCAGAATTCCCATCCCCTGTCAGTGACTAACTCCTCATTGTGCACTGTCTGGTAAGGGAACAGTGCTGCTGCACCTATGAGAGACGCCAGCAGGTATCAGCAGTTCAGAGCGCTCTTGAGAGCTTGCAGAATTCACGTCTACCGCCTTTCTCATGATGGGTAACCATCACTTCCCCTCTCTCTCTTGTCTCCCTAGTTCCTTGATCACCCATTTCCTTTCAGACTTTTCTGGTTACTCTTAACTCCTTCCAAAGGACCACAGTGAGACAAAGCTGGACCACCAAGCTAACAACTCACAATAGAATCACATCTGCTCAGGGTTAGTCTTTTGGACCCTCAATGGTATAAAATCAGATTTGAACTTTAGGGAATACTGTTGAGTAACATTATCTAGTTTGGGAGGTAAAAAGATTCATTCCTGCATTTTAAGGTGAAAGGAGAAATAGGTTCAAGTTGGCATGAGAGGGTGCCTGAGTGCCAGGGTCTTGCTCACCCAATTATTCCCTACAATTTATGGAGTACTTGTCATGTCTAAGAATTCGAAAGTGGGTCCACAAAACAGTTGCCCTGAAGGACCACCTAGGAAGATGTAAAAATTGAAGATTTCTGAGTCCTGCCCCAGGCCCAGAATTTCTGGTGGTAGACCCAGTGATTTTAAATCCTGGACTTACTCATAGAAGTTGTTTGGAGGAAGATCTCCATGGTTTAAAAAAAATTGAAAACCACTGTTTAAGCACCTCCTCACCATGTTATAGGCGAGGAAGTGGAGCCTTAGAGAGGCCAGGACTTGTCTAAACATATATAGCTGAAACAAAAGTTGAAGGGGCTTGGTAATGGTATGGATGTGCAGAGGGACCCAGTGGGGAGGAGAAAACAGTGGTTTTGAGTTTGAGTGACCATGCTGAGAGCCAGGTAAATAAGAGAGGGAACTGATTTTATGGAGGTACTGGGGAATGAAATTAACCAAATTAAATAATGTGCATGTATGAATATGTAATAATGAGTCCCACTGCTATGTGTAATTACAATACACCAATGAAAAAGATTTAATTTTATGGTGAAATACAGCTGAATTTTAGGTAAGGTGAATAGGGAGGGCATGCTGGGTGGACTCTTGGTAATATTTGGGGGTGATAATTATCGTACTTTTTGGAGTCTACTAGGAATGGTGCCCCATGGTAGAACCTCCTTTGGGAAACCTTGCTACCATCATTCTTAAAACAAACCCACAAGCTAAGTATATTTTGTTATGGTTTGGTTATGAGGTGTCCCCCCCTGCCCAAAGCTCCTGGATTCATGCAAGAGGTGAGATTATTAGATTATGAGAGCCAACATAATCAGTCCATCCTAGTTTGAATAAAATGACTGGGGCAACTACAAGCAGGTGGGGTGTGGCTGGAGAGGGTGGGTCACGGAGGGCATGCTGTGGAAGGATTCATCTCCCCTGGGGCCATGAACAGAGCAGCGCTCCTCTGCCATGCCCTTCCACCAGGATGTTCTGCTCACCTTTGACCTAGAGCACTGGAGTTAGCCCACCATGGACTGAATCTCTGAACCAAAATAAGCATTTCTTTCTCTAAGTGGTACTTGTCAGGTATTTAGGTAACAGTGACAAAGAAACAACAACAACAACAAAAAACCTGACTTAATACACAAATTGGTACTAAGAAAGCAGGGTTGTTGCTGTGACCAACTTCTCTATGTGGCCCAGAAGCCTTTGGAAATGGTCTGTGGGAAGAATTTGGAAAAGTTTGAAAATTCAGGCTGAAAAAGCTTTAACATGTTGTAAGCAGAGCTTAATGGGCAATTTTGGTGGGAGCTCAGAAGACCAGCATACCAATAAGAAGGCAGAATGTGCTCATGAGGTTTCAGAGGAAAACGAGGACTCTTTTGGGATTGGACTAGAGGCCATTCATGTCATGTTCTGGGAAGGAACTTGTCTAGGTCTTGTCCATGTCCTGAGATTTTGTGTGAGGCTCAATTTAAAAGTGGTGGACTAATTAATCTAGTGGAGGAAACTTCAAGGCAGCACAGAATTTAGTCAGTGGCATGGATTTTGCTGGCAGCTTTTAGCCAAGCTTACCGTGAGAATTCAGAGCAGATAGCAGAGCCCAAGGATTTTAAAAACTTTCAGTTTGGCCAGATAAGTGGATGTTATGTAAAATTGAGGCCAAGAAAGTTTGTGGTGGTTGAAGAGCTTATAGTCACTAAAGAGATGCTGAGTACTTGACACAGAGAATATAGGAAAGATGGCTTGGGGGCATCTCAGAATTTGGAAGACCACACCCATTACAGACTCAAGGGTGTAGAAAGGAAAATTTCTTTAAGAAGAGATCATGGGGTCATCCTGGTCACACAGCAGGGCTTGAAAGTGATTTCACCACGCTAATCCACCTGGGCACTCAGAGACTGTGCAGCTGTGATCCCAGGTGGCCCAGCTACTGCTTGATCTGGCAGAAGACCTTGGCATCATTTATAAGGTGCTGAATTCTATAACAATATAGGATGCTGGAGTTAAGGGACTGTGGAACAATATTTCCAGCAATATTTCCAAGGAAGGCCTGTAATGTCAGGCAAAGTGTAGCAGTGTCAGAATCTCTGAAATGGTGATGAGTGAATTTATGAAGTTGAAACCAAATTGAGGATAGATACCCCAGGAATTAAGAGATACTAATAACATGTACTATCTGCCAAGGAAAGCTGCAAAGGCTGAGGAGACAGCCAGACGAGGAGAGAGAACATGAGTGCTGCGACCAGAAAGACCAAAGGGCCAGGATGGCTCCAGCCATTTGGAGAGCACATCTTGCCACCATGTGTCTTAGATACTGTATGCAGATTTATGGGGATCGTCTGGTTTTTTATCATGCTTTGGTCCCATCCCTTCTTTTTATGCCTCTATTCCTCTCTTTTAGAATGGGAATGTTTACTCTGTGCCATTGTATTTTGGATTGTTGCAACTTGTTTTTAATTTTTACAGAGACTCATAGCCAAGAATTTGCCTTGAGTCTCAGATGAGACTTTGGACTTGGACCTTTGGGGCAATGATGGAACTGTTAAGATGATGGGACTCTTGGAGATCGACTAAATGCATTTTGTATTGTGAGATGGACATGAGATTTTGGGGGCTCATGTTGTTGGGGCTTAGAATGTTATGGTTTATATATGAGGTGTCTCCCAAAAGCTGTTACATTAACACAGGAGGTGAAATTATGAGATTACGAGAGCTGTAACCCTCATCAGACTATCCTAGTTTGAATGGACTAACTGTGGGGTGGGTAACTATAGACTGGTGCATGGCTAGAGCAGGTGGGCTACTGAGCGAATGTCCTGGAAGAGTGCATCCTCTCTGAAGCCCCTTCCCTTCTCTTTCTGCTTCCTGGCTGCTATGAATGGAGCAGTGTCCCTTCACCATGCCCTTCTGCTATGATGTTCTTCTGTCTCAACTTGCGCCCAGAGCATTGGAGTCAGCGCACCAGTTTAAGAAACTGTGAGCCCCAGATAGAATTTTCCTCCTCTGAGTTCTCAGATATTATGGTCACAGGGATGAAAAATTGACTAACTCGTATTATGTCCATTGTACCAATGAGGAAACGGCTCAGAGGAGTTGTGTTGTTTGTCCTGGGTTTTACAG